AGCCAGTGTCCAGGGTGCGGAGGCGACCCTCGTCCACACAGACACCGCTGTCTCGGGATGAGGATTAAATGGAAGTCTGACGAGGCCTGATATTGTGTGACTTGTCTCGGTCGGTACACGAGCCGCCGGCGGTTCGCTTGCCACTTGCTGCCACGTTTTCACTAAGCACACAAACTTCTTCCAGTCCGTGACCGAATGACTACCGGAGCGGTATAATTCAGGTCACATTTTCCTTGGTTACAGGTTTCGCTCGCTTCTACTCGTTGCTTGACTGTCGGCTTGCTTTCGGGGAGAGCTACGAGTTCTTCTCTCGAATCCTCTGGCTGGAGCACTGACGGACTAATTGAGCCATCCAACACCTGTTACTCTCTTCCGGCTGCACAGGCCGACGACTGTTAACAGAGCAATGACATCGGAAAGGAGTAGCAAAAGAGAAATCCGGGAGGGGCGTTTCTCGAGGCACTCCCTTACATTTTGGAACCAATTGAAAGCAGCAGCCTCTCTTGAGATGCTGATGGTCAGCTGGAAGTGGAAAGATCAGTTCTGTGTTCTTATAATCCATCGTTCCATCTACGTCTTGGTCTCCCAAGTGACCATCTCCCGCCGCCTGGCCAATTACGAATTAAGTGGCAGGGTCTTCAGAGATCCAACAAAGCGACAGGTAACTGAATGTTAATACTGACTTCATTTTATATAATTTTCTTTGGAAGAAGTTAATTTTTTTTACAAAACTCAGTAATGATCCTTGGGAGTTTTCTCTCACACTTCGCTGGATGTGAGCACAAACCACAGGAGGTTCGCTTCAGAAGTTTGGCTTATTTCTGGTGGACTTGGCTCCTTCATGCGCTGGGCTGCAGTTTCATCCGTTTCTCCGTTTCTGGTCTCGTTGCTAGGCGACCACGTGCAGCGAAAAGGTCCAGAATTTTCGAAATCTCTGTTATTTCATAAAATCCGCGTCTGCCCGTCTCGATCAGCCGTTCATTTCCTTGGAAAGCAAAAAGCCTGATGCGTGTACAGTCACTGCTGAAATGTTTGCCACGTACTTTCAAGCAAGGAGTTTTGTCATGGACTGTACGTGAACAATCCACTTGACTTCGAGATATGCAACCTGCAGTAACGGAACTGGTTGAGCGCGTGTTGAGGCTCATTTTTTCCCCTCCAATGAAACAAAACGAGACAAAAGAAAGAATTAAAGCCATTGGAACCAAACAGAAGTAGGCGGGTGACAGGACACGATGTGGGGGGAGGGGGGCCTGAGACGAGGCGCGGGGTCGGCATCAGCACATGTGGCATTTAAAAGGTCCATTTTCACGTCGCAAGACAGGAACTGCATCAAAATCACGAAGCTAAATTATCTGGACAGGGTGAAAATTTAAGAATCGCAAAAATTTACAGTGCAATTCCTTGAGGTCGTCTTCTTTGACGACGAAAACGATTCCGCTAAATGCACACATGCTCCACGTCACGGAACGAGGAAAGTGGACATTCCATCTTAACACTTTTGTACCTGCAGCTCAACATTTCTTGTTATTTGTTTTTATGTGTCGACGCAGAGAGAGCAGTGGCGCCAGTCGGCCGCCTCGCGCTTAAGGGCTTCAGAGGAATGGAGTAGACTTCGCGAAGTTACTTACGCGAAGAGGTTTCACTGCGGTGGGGTGGGAGAAACTAGCACAACGAGACGCAGACACAAGTATAATATTAAAATGGGCCGTGCAAGGGTGGACGCAGCTCCCGCCTTAAGGCCGAGATTTGAAGTCAGTACCTCCTGACCACAAAGAAAAATACAGCAGCAGGCCACACTCAAACAAAGATTAAAAACAATTCATGTCTGTAATCCAGCAGAATTAATCGCGACAAAGCAACTGCAGCCTTTTTCCTCAGTCACTTG